TATATAAAAACCTATAACTTCAAATCTTTATTACTGCTAGCCAGTATTCCATTGTATATGTGTAGATCATTACTATTCTTAGGTGTACTTCTTCAGTGGTCAAACTGCATATTTAAAAAATTAAATATACTAAAAGATTTAGAAGAAACTGATAAGAATATTAAAGCTCTGGTGTGCTGAATCACCATGTTCTTCATCTCTGATGGGCATCACAGAGGTCACAATAAGTCTATTATAAACTATTATATCCAAGTGGTAACTGCTATCATCATTACCAGTTGGGATTAGATGTTGATAGGCCACAAATACTGTTTTACGTTTAGGTAAATTATGAAATTATAACTTTATAAACGTATGAAGAACACTATGGCTTTTGTAGTTTAGTATTTTAATATAGCTGATTGCCAAAAAGATTTTATCTTCTACTTTAATACCGAGTTAATTCGGTATTAATAGCTACTTTTATATAAACCAAACTGAGTCCCTTTCTTTAATATTGAAAAAAAAAAAACAATTAAAGCAATAAAAAATCTTCCCTTAGGCAAGAAAGAAAAAAAATTGAAGTTTATTTTAAAATAGTATGAACAAAAAATAGTAAGTTGTGGTGTCAACTAATTTTAGCCACTGATTTCTTGTATAGATACAAGATCTCCATTGTGTCATTTCCTGACTGATTTTTGATCCCATTTAATAACATTTTCCATTTCCGGCTTTGTTTTAACTCTCATAATTATTTCATCGATTTGACAAAATATGGTATTTCTAGAAAGGCAAAATAACAGCTAATAAGACAAATAAATTAAGAGGAATGAGGAAATTTACATGAGAAAAAGTCTGGTTTGATATACCTGATAGTTAATAAATTAAATTCTATATAGATTAGTTCATTTATAGCAGTCAACTTTCTAGTGTAAATGTCTTATTTTTTAAATAACAGACAAAAGTATTGGTGTAATAGGTTTATGAAGCCTCTCGTTATTATAAAATTTATATAAATGATAAAAGAAAATTGGATCTGTGCAACATGGGAGAAACAGACACTGCTTTAACTATTAAAGAGTGTTATTTTATGAAATTTATCTTTAATGTGATTACCTTTCAAAAGTTGTAAATTGATTTGATTTCAAAGTTGTAAACTGATCTGCATTTCACACCTATAGACACACATTCTCTCTCTCTCTCTCTCTCTCTCTCAAAATTGGCAAATCTTTGTTTTTGAAGGCATATTTACTAAATCAAAGTCTGAGGAACACAGTAGCACAGTTCTGAGCAACAGCAACATAATTGAATTACATTTATTACCTCTAAAGGTGACTCATTTGGGAGGTACAGTATCTGTTATGGCAGCTTTACAAATACGAATCTCATTAGTTTGTAATTAGATCTTGGGATGTAACCTAGTTTGAAGGAATTTCTTATATAGTTCATGGCTGTATTTTTATACTCAATGAAATAAGATGTTTAAATACCAGAACATAAGATTCAACTAAAATAAATAGAATAAATAGAAGAAGCTTCTGGTAGTTACAGAAACAGGTGTTAGGTAAAATTTGTTCAGTAACTCAGGTGCAACAAAATATGTTCCTTTAGGCTATTGTACCCCATCAGAACATTCTGGAATGAAAATGATTAGCAAGTGGATGCTCCATATTCGATGAGGGGATATATCTCTACAAGAAGAAATGTAGATGTAATATAATATGCACTCCCTCTACAAATAAATCCAGAAAAAGCACTTATTAAGAACTTGCTTTTTGCTGGCAATTTAGAGGTTCAAATGAGAAGAATTATACTTTTTGAAAAAAATACAGAATGAAGTGTGAAACTATTCTAAACAGAATCATATGGGAACTAATTGGAGGGATCACTTATTATTTTAATAATGGCAGTCATAATACTTCTAAATTTAAGGCAAATCAAATACATTCTATTGTAAAGAGAAAAAGCTATATCATTTTATAGCATTCTAACATAAGAAAAACAACTATCCAATACCTCATCGATTTTCTGAGTTAGATTGTCTGTCTTCTTGATTTTTTCACATTGTTATTAGAAATGAAAACCTATTGATTATATTCTTTAAAAATAGTTCTGAACAATGAGAATTTGTCATGATTATTGAATTATAATAACCCAATACTGTGTATTCATAGGGTAAAAGTAACTTGAATTTGTTATATAATATCCATAAATTAAAAACATTTAATAAATATGTAGTATCATTCCAGAGCAGTAACAGCTAGGGACCTACACCTTTAGATGAATCTTATATAATTTTTAAATAATAATTTATAATTCGTAATCTATACATTAACAACTAGTAATCAGGAGCCCATGACTATTTGGCAGTAAAAAAAATACCTCATTGATTTTATTATTTCTTCTACTATTGAACTTTGGGGTACCACAGACTTCCTATTACAAATATTAAAACTGTTTAATTTAAATAAATTAAAGTATGTATTTAAAGGAGCTACTGTCTAATTATGCTGTGAATTGAAGGAAGAATATGAATCTGATGAAGATATCACGTGGGGACATGTAAAAGTTTAATTCAGGTATAATTTTTGCAGCAAACAAAAGATTGCATTTCACTGATAATTTAAATAAAATGGAGAAATAAGAAAGAAAAACAAATAAAAGAGGACTGCGAAATGAGTCTAAAGCTGGAAAAGATCATTTTAGATAAATTCTGCTGATGGAAGGAGATGATAGTAAAAACAGAATATCAATCATATATTAAATAAATATATTATGGGTAACAGCTTTAAGTAAAAGATATATTTTGATAAATATTAATGGAAAAGACACAAAGAGAATAATAAACATTCAATTAAGTAAAATAATATTTGAAAAGCTGGGGGCAAGAGGTACCAAAATGGACTTAAAAATCATAATCCACTTTCCACAGCTATTCATATACCTTATAAAACCAAGTCTTTACAAATTCCATAATACTTTGTCAAGCAAAAGTTTCAATACAACTATATAATAATACTCTTTTTATTGTCTACTTTGATAAAATTAAAAGGAAAACATTTGGCTTCCACTGGCAGTTTTTACATAAAAGAATTGTCTGCTTTAGTAAATGACGAATTTTCTCAATGTTAATATAATCTGTATGTGGAATTATTTAGTTAAAATATTTCTTAATAATACATTTGTTCTATTCTAAAAGTCTATGCTAAAATCACAACAAAACATTTGATCATATCTGAATGCAAATATGTTTTTAAAATATTATTTAAACTCTATGATATTCAGATCACTCTAGAGTAAAATAAACATTTGAAGAACAAAAGGTTCAGTTTATATTTACCAAAAGACATTCTTAGTAAGCAGAGAAGTTATTACAATAACTTTAGAACAAGAAAATTACACTAAAAAATAGTTATACTCTACTTAAATATCATTTAAATTAGGTTAAAATTAATCTTCATCATGCAAAAATCATTATTTTGCAACGACACCAAAATCGCTTGGCAGGGAACACAGTAAGTTGCCAGGTAAGAATGTATGAGAAATGAGACTGGGTTAGAAAAGCATGGGTGTTCTCAAGGTTTGATACTCACACAAAGAGAAAATTCAATTAAAGCCGAGAAATACAGAGTCTTTGTGTAACCTTGTAAACACTAAAGCCGCAAGTCAGGGCTAAAAACAGTCAGAAAGTAGGTAGAGGAGACGCCACAACAGATGAGTTTGCTATTCAGCCATATGATTAGGTTGCTCCTAAAAACAGGCAACACAATATTGCCTAGAATAGGAGAAAATGATAGGGAGTTCTTATTGTCCAAATCAGGTTATAAATTATCTAATGACATTATAAAAATGAAACATTGAGAGTTTACCTAATTCTGTGATTCCATTAACAAGGCAGTTATAATTATAATGAGTAGAGTGCAATATAGTATCCCTGGAATTTTTCAAGGTATTTGCAAGATGTCTACTTTGTTTTCTTTCATTGAATTTTAGATCTTTTGAAATTACTCTTAAAGGTAAAAATCTCTATAAAATCAAGACCCATTTTACCCTTTAGTTTCAGTAACCATTCCTTGCTCTTGTCTCTCAGGCCTAACTCCTTTCCTCAAATATTTGCCTAAGAAGAAATCTCGTACTGAGGTCTGGTTTCTTCTCTTTAGACCAGGCTTTAACCCCTATATTTCAGGGCTTGACCCTTTTTTCCTGATGTTGCTGGTCAGCTAGCCTGGGCCTTTTATTAACTGCTAATCAGATCAGCTGTATTGCTTACTTTATAAACGTGTCTGACATTTAGGCTCCTGGCACTTCCCTTTGACTCATCCCACGGCCCTAGAGTCATGTTGAAAATACCATGCCTTCTCTACCACTTTCATTCTTCATAATAGTTCAGACCTGAGTCTGTGCTTAATAAATGATGAGTTGGATGAGGAACAGAGTCATAATGCCAGGTGTCATATCATTAAGTTATGAGTGTAAAAATTATATTTTTAAATAAAGAGATGTTCAAACTTTGACTAATGAATAACGTGGGAACAACATAATTTTTAACATTAAACAAAAAGTATCATATTCAATGCTGGTTATATATTTGATAATGCAGTATATCTTGGAAGGTCATAGTTCTGAGAGTATATTTTATCACTTTCCTCTTTTTTATTCTCTCCATGTTATTATTTTTCTGAATGATATCATTTTAGTTTTTCCTTCTCATTTTATTGTTTTTAGCATTTCACTCAGTTTTAATTTTCCAATTTTCCTTATTCTTCAATGTTGATGTGATATTTTGTGTTATGTTTTCCTCTGTGATAGCTAATTTTCAATTATATTCTCTTTTTATTTAAAACTCCATCATTTAGTCTGAGACAGTATGATGGGTCAAATAAATTTTTTAAAAAGTAAATAATTAAAATTGTGTCAGTTTTCTGGTTGAAACCTTAAAATATACACTTTGAAGGGTTGTGTCTCCATTATTAATGGCATTAAATTAAATAGGAATAAGCTTTACAACATAGGAACTTTACCTGCTGAAGTTGGCTCTTCTTCATCTGATGCTGTAGTGGGCATAGGGGATTGGGAGGGGGGGGAGAGGAGGAGAAAGAGAGAGATACTGATTCAGATTGAACAGAAATATATTTCACATTTCCAAACAATGATTACAAACTCTTGACTTGTAATTTTGTGTATATATTAGAAATATGCCATTAGATAATTAGATAATGACTGATTAATGGGTATTCACATTCAAATAACATTTATATATTCATACTTTAAAAATATGTATGTATTAGAAAAGACCATTCAGTTGTCTAAATTTGATTTTTCTTTTGCAAACAAGTCTGGCTTTATTTAGTTTGAGTGTAAGTTATTATAATTTTTATAAATAATATTGTTTAAAATATAAATGATATATAACATATAAATACCCCACTATCACCAGTTTATGGGAATTTTCTATTAGCAAAGAGGAATTAAAAGTCTTTATTGATAGTCAAAATATTCTTCCAAGAGGTAGACATTATAAATAAGATAGGGGTTTATCAAACCTTAGAGTGACTCAGAATCACTTTGGATGTTGGTGAATCATGAAAATTTTA